TTTCCAGAATAATTTCATCATAAAGAATCCAGAATCCAGACAGCTTTTTGCCATGCACCTTGGTTTGATCTAGACTGTGACATATTCAGTGCATTCTCCTGGATAAGAGAGATGTAGAAGTTCTGGCTTCACTTCTCAAGTTGTTTCTTCCTTGGTTTAGTTCTTGTTAAGAGCCCCCTGGGGCCTTGCCTTAAAATGCCAGCATAGCTGGTCACTGCAGCTGTTGTGCTGGGGCTTGTGCCAGCACCTCCTAGGGCGACATGTACCCCTCCTGGGTGCCAGCTCTTTTCAGCCAGGTCAGTTCGCACACACTGGTTTTCTTGAGCTTCTGGCTGGTCCCCAGCTTCTCAAACCTGGTTCATCACACTGTGTAATTGTTTTCATTCCTCTGTACCCCACGTGTTTGATGCATGGTGAGGGAATAATTAAAAATGAAACCTACAGAAATCCTCACATGCAGTTTTTAAATAGAGTAAGTGGTTTTGTGTTATAAAACAGGCCCAAAGAGACGTTCTTGTTTCCTATTTAAAATAATGGGAGAATGTTTGTTTTTGTCGTTTGTGTGGTTTCTTGGTGCTGATCCTTTGGGCTACCTCTAAGTTCTCTGCTGGAAATGCACTGTGCGTCTATACTTGACAAGTTCTGGGCTCCCAGCGGGAGCTGAGCATAGATATGTGTCGTGGGAAAGTCTGTGTCCAAGGTGGATTGGAATGTGAGATTGTAAGCATGCTACCTTAGACTGGAGAGAGCAGGGGGTGATTTGATGCTTTCCAAATGCCACTTTTACCAAAATGGGTCATCTTGTGTATCTCAGGCCAGGCCTCCTGGGGCCACAGCATCACGCAGCAGCAGGGAAGGAGGGACTCCTGCTGTCATCCACCCAGGGCTGTGGGCATGGTTGCAGGCCCTGGCATTGGTCCCACATGCTTACCATAATAGCAATCCTGGATGGGGACTGTGAACCTGCCTGGCTCCCCGCACTGCCTCCCCAAGTGCCTCTTTCTCTGTTCCTGCTCCCAGCACCTTCTCGGCCTCTCTCACGAGCCTCACACAGTAGTTCCTGCTCTGCCACTGCAGCGTCTCCTTTCTTACTGAGGGAGGGGTCAAGGATCTGTCCCACTCATGCCAGCTGCCTGGTGATGCCTGTGGAGTGGTGAGTGGGGCCTCATGGTACAGCCCTCCTGTACTCATTCCAAAGGCCTGTTGGTGTCACTGTCAAAAATAGTCCTCCCACACACTCCCAAGCCCCAGTCACAAGCCAAGCCAGCTGTGAGACAGGAGACTGCCTCAGACATGCCACAGCCTTTGCAGAGGTACCCTCCTTCTTGGTCTTCATACCTTCATGTCTCAGGGACTCACCCACTGGTTCCCAAGTCCCAGGGCGATGGCAGCTCCCCAGTGTATGAGCTGGATGAAAGGAATGAAGGCAAAATACATTGACTGTTGCTGGTGGGCTCAGTCTAGCTCTAGAGGCTATGCTGCTATCTCTGTATTCCCTGCTACAGCCTCCAGTGTCACAGGCATTGCAGAATCACCAGGTAGGAGCCTGGGGAGGAGTACCAGGACCTGAGTCCCTGCTACCATCTTAAAATATATCAGGATCTGATGGAGAGTGAAGAAATGTGACAGCGACTGTGGCCTACTTGCCAAAAACCCCAGGGAGGGAGACACCATCCCTGAGTAGCCTGTGCTGCCCTCTGGGGAAGGTTGGGGTGGTCAGCTCATGGAAATCAGAGCCTGACAGCTGGAGCCGATGCCTACCTTTGGGCAGCCAGGGGCATAGAAACAGGGCCAAGTTCCCAACTGAGGCCTCCATCACAGACATACTTGTCTAACTAACTTGTCTTTGCTCTCCTGTCTGCTCCTTCTTTGGGAGCATTGTCTCTGCCTTCTTGGCTGGCCAGTCTTACTCTCTGGCCTGCAAAAACCCTGCCTCATTCCTTCTCCCAGCCTGTCTCTCCACCCATGCCACTTGGGAGAACATAGGCCCTTGCCACCCCTGACTAACCTGGTTCAGGGCTGTGACTGTCATCTGCTCCCTGTCTCCTGTCTCTACTCCCACCCCCACACAGTCAGTCCCCTTTCCTAAAGCCGGATCCATAACTACACTCTCCAGGGCTTTCAGGATGAGGGTCAAAGGTATCGCCTTAGCAGGAAAGGGCTTTTCAGATCTGGCCCTGCATGCCATCCCAGATACCCACACACTCTGTATCTAGCTTCCCAGGTGTGCTGTGAGGAGTCAGCCTCCAGTGTCTCCCACTGATCCCCAGCTTAGTCTCTGTGCCTCAGTCTTAGGGCCCTGTTCCTCTCAGTGACTCCCACTGCCCATGAGGATGAGCCCATCTCAGAGGCTCTTCCTGACACCAACCTTGTCTGCTCTATGGGAACACAAGCAGAACTACATCGAGGCTGCACCCTGCATGCTGATGAGTTGCCATCTTCCCTGTGGGGCGCTTCAGAGCAGCCCTGTTCTCCTCAGGCATCTGTGACCCTGCAGGGGGTGGGGGCCTGAGACAAGAGTGCAGATGGGGGCCATGTATCATGTCTAAATATTTATGAAATTTAAATCAAGCCAACACACTATTAATAAAGTATGTTCTATCCTTCTTTGACAAGTATACCTTCAAGATGGAAAAAATAGTGTAAATCTGTGGTTTTTATATGCGTGAAAGTTGGCAAAATATCAATGACAACTGAGTTTAACTGTTGTTATTGCACATGTCTGAGTGTTCTGTTGAGAGGCCACTTGTGTTTGAATGAGTAGCAGAATCAAGACTTGATTTATCAATTAGTGCATATTTATCCTGTAACACTTATTATTTTGTTTTAGTCTCTGCTGACTCACTAATTATGTTGTATATTAAACATTTCTGGTAATGTTTGTTCTGTTGGCAATAAGGACCTAATGCAGGGCTGGCACACCGCAGCCTGCAGCTTGTTTTTGTGCAGTGTCTACATTTTTAAAGGGTTGTTAAAAAAATAAAGAAAAACAAAACAAAATAATGCAACAGAGACATGTGGCCATGAAGTCTAAAGTACTAAAATACTTATTATCTGGCCCTTTACAGAAAAAGTTTCCCAAGCTAAAGGATCAAAAAATAAAAATTTGTAATTGAATTTGAAGTATATGAAATTTGAATTTATTTCTGTCAGAAATTTGAACTTAATAACAGCAAAGATTATGTTAATTTTTCATGTTTTCAGAAGTTATTTTGCTGTGGCACTGGGAGGGCAACCCTGTGTCCTCTTCTGTGTCCGGTGGAAAACCTGTCGTGGGGCAGCCCCAGTTCTTCAAATGGAAGGCACAAATTTAGTACACCACCACAATGGTCAACAGGTTAAAGACTTTTTACTTACAGATCCAGGGCACAGAGGGCACTGTGAGCCTAGAAGGGCTGTCTTCTGACCCTGATCATATGAGGCAGGAATGAAGGGTCAAGGAGAGAGAGAGAGAGAGAGAGAGAGAGAGAGAGAGAGAGATGGGGGGGGAGAGAAAACCATGGCACCTGAAGGATTATGTGAGCATAGGGTGAGCATCACTCCAAGTTCCTGGGCAAGTGCCTGAGTTCTCATCTCTGGCACTTGCTTTAGCCATTCGGGTGTGGCATGGAACTGGACACTCACTGTCAAGGGTGACTGAGCCCTGCTACTTGTAGAAGAAAGTCAAACTTGTATTCAAAATGGATGCTGAGGCCATGTCAGCTTAAAATAGTTCACTGCACGTGGCTTACACAGAGTATGTCTGGATACATGAAAATTTAAGAGTAGTAAGAGTCGCTTTATACAGCACAGCTGTCCTTAGGTGCTGCATGCGATTGTTGTGACTGTTGTATTCATCTGTGTGTACCTTTGGAATAGTGAATTTGAAAGCGGGTACTGGGCCTTACTGGGAAAAGGCACTTTGCTGCACAAGACAGTGATTACATTTGTCGAGAGCAAGAGTTTGACTAATTAGTTGATTTGCCTTTTTTCTTTTATCTGTGAGCATTCTTCCCATACCCAGTTCTTCCCAGGACAGCGTCTCAGGGTCTTTGGGTGCAGCTGCCTTTTGTTCCAAGGATACAGGTCTGAGACATGGGGGAACATCCCTGGGGCCTGAGCAGTGTTTGTCTGAAAAGAAGAGGCTGAGGGCTGTTGGTTCTGCTGTGCCGGCCCTAAGGTTCTGGATCCTGAGTGACAGAGGCACCACGTGCTGTACAATGTGTGTGTGCATGTAGGTGTGTGTGCATGCACATATGTGTGTTGTGTGGGCCCTGCTCGCCCTTGGCTGGTATGCTACTGTGCTGGTCAGTCCACTGGGCAGAGTGGAAAACAGGAAGTGGTCAGTGTTTGCTCTGTCCTTGGGTGCATACAGTCCTACTGAGGAGTGAGCCGTGTCTCTGTCTGCTGCGAACAAGAGCAGCCTCTGGGCAGAGGTAGGGGGCATCTGCTTGAAAGTGGCCTGTGGTTTCCTTTCATGGGACTTCATATGTGACACCTCACTGGTCACCTGCACTTTGTAGGGAATCTTACGTCAGCTAATATTTATCAAGCCCTGCATTGTGTTGTGTTTTTTGAAGTTTTATTTTCTAAACTACTCTTTTATTGATACTTTTATGAATACTTTATTCTGTTGTCTAAGAACTTACATGTAAACAGTACTCTGATGTGTTTGCGATGGGAGATTTATTTCCCTGGAAAGACCCCGGACAGCACACTTCTCTCCCACTCTGCCTGTGGTGTTTTGTCTGTGACTGCAGTGAAGGGTTAACTGTCACATGTCGCCTTCTGGGTGGTGTGCTTGGAAGTCACTGTGGTGCTTGGGCCCCTTCAGCCTGAATCTGTCTGACTCTGCGGTGTGATGAATGAGCCCACAGCAGAGGAGGAGCAGGGCTCCCACGGCAGGGACCAGGCTGGCGCAGCTGCCACATGCTGAAGTGAGTCGCTGTGCCGCTGCCCTGAGCGACCAGGGGACGCAGAATGAGGCTGGGACTGGTGGGGGCAGGCACCGGCTCCTTGGCATGGCATCGCTTATCATGGGAACTTTGCACATGGGACCCTTCTTCAGCATCATGGGGCGTCGGTATAAAAGGAGGCGCAAGAAACGCTCCGAGAGGAAAGGTAATTCGCTGAGTTTTCATTCTCAAAAACACAGTGTTTGTCTTTATGTGCAACCTGGAGTGTTTTCGGGGATTGATGGCTTCGTGAATTCCTTGGCTGGTGCCGTTACTTCCTGTTTTCCCTTGTAAAGTGCCTCTCTTTTCTGTTGGCATTTCATAGAACTTCAGATAAGGACTCTTACAAAGGGGGATTTGAAAACATGTCTGTAAGCATGTATGGAAATCACTTTAGCTTGTACGTTTGAAGTGTATCTTTGGAAAGATATTTATGAAACCTTAAATGAGCAGCTTGGACCTGAAAAGGTTTTTCCCGCAGAGATAGATGCTCAGTAATGACTTTCCTTTGCTGCACTCTTCATTAATTACTTTTCCACATTAGAACTGTTCTCCATGCTGCAGGAAGCAAAGCTGTGAAAGCATTTTTCCCTTTAAAGGATCAAAAAACAGGTCCCTTACTGTTAGCACTCCAGGTTAATATTCATTTTAATTCAACTTAATGTTTTAAGACATTAAAATAGATTTCTTTCTTAAAACCATATTCCAAAGTTGTACATGACAATAGAAATTATAAACTATTGGCTTTTGGAGGTGAATTATTGCTTTAAAAACTGTTGCTTAGGATTTTTTGTATAATGTGAAATGATTGATAGAAAATATCTCAGTGAACAGATACTTCTAGCTGGGAGAACAGCTGAACACAGTGATGATCTAGTGCCTCTGTATCTTGGGTGTCACTTTAGTGCTCACCCCAGGATAGGACTAGAATGTAACCTTTCACCACCCCGGGATCTTTAGGATATTATGTGGCAGGTGATGGGTATCTTTCAGGAAATAAAACTGCCCCAGTTTTGTAGTATAACTTCCTAAAAAGAGGAGGATCAAGTTAACGTGGAAGTCAGCAATCTCACGACATTAGCATCTTGCTAAATATAGTGTATCTAGTGGAATTCTACCTGGGAGGGGCCGCCATGCTCCTAGCCCCAACATGTACCATGTCTGCCATGTATATTTCCTGGGCCAGGGATACAGGTGCCCTTGATGCTGTGACTGGCAAGTGGCCTTAGGATAGCCGATCTGTGTGATCCTCTCCGTTCTCACCTCAGAAGGTTACAGTGTGGGCCTGTTCTTGTTTGAAGTTGCAGTGTGTCATTGAGACAAGCAATATGAGGTAAAAACAAAGGCAAAAACTATGGGAATTTTGATCAAATGCCCTAAATTTAGAATTGCCACCACTTTTTCCGTGGGCCCTCATCACTACATTTAAGTTGGGATTAATATAAGTAGTACAGCATTCTTTTGGAACTCACTGTAAGTCAGACTTGAAATGTCTTCTTCCTGGATTCCATAGTCTTATTCTATAGGAGGAGAACCCCTCTCCAGTATGTTGCATTTTCAGATCAAGGTTATAAAAAATCGGGAATGTCAGAAGATGCAGCAGTTAAGCCACACATTAATTAACTTGTATTCCCTGGTCATTCCTATGTGAATAAGTTCATTGTGAGTGCCATTACACAGTATAATGTTATATGTTAGTACCTGCTCTGGACATTATATAATACACACTATCTTTGAAGTCAATACAATGCCTTTGAAAATTATGGATATTATTAAGACTGACCATCCCATTTATACCAAACTGACAAAATTTTATATCATGATGTAGTCCTGTATACTGTATAATTTCAAGTGTTGTAAATCTTGTATATTGAAATTATGTTTTTTTCTGAGACTGGTATAATGTATGTCTTTTAAAATGTAGTTCTTTGTTGAAAATAATGTCGTAGCAAGTTACCTGTTTTAGTTGACTTCAGTAGCAATACAATTTCAGTGATTTTTATCACTTCTGAATTATCCATGCAGTTATTCCTTTTTATGGGGCAAATAATTGACCATTGAGTACAGATGAGACTCGGGTAGACTCGCTTAATTATCAGAAAAATGTGATTGAAGGAGAATAATGTGCAATTTCAACATTGACCAAGGCCTCCATCAAGCAGATCTTGCTGTCCTGGAAGGTGCTGCTGGTCCAAGACCAGAGAGGGACCCAGAGGCCACAGGTCAGGCTGCTGGGGAACAGTTAGTGCCCCACATGGGGCCTTTCCTGCACCCAGCTAGTACTCAGTGGCTGCTGCTGTATCCTCTGTCCATACATAGCACTGCTGTAGGGTAGACAGCCAGCAGGGGGAGTGTGGTGGGTGGCATGCAGAGGCAGTCCTTCACGACTGCCTCTCCCACCCCCACCATGTTGTGTGAGTAACATCATGTATTTCTAGATTAAGGCTTTCTCACTGAGTATTTTGTTTGTCCCATGTCCCACATGTGATAATCCCCTTCTCTGTGCTTGGTCATGTGCACACATGTGAAGACCACTGTCATCTGGAGCAACCCTGAGTTGTGCTTCTTCCACATTTTCAGGATGGAGAAGTGAAGGGTGTGGGGACCTTTGTGGAGATGGAGATCCAGACCTGGAGAGACTTGCTCCCTCTAAGTACTGCTGGTGGATAGGCCCTGAATCACATGCCCTTCACCCTCCACAGAGTGAGCAGATCCAGCTGATGGGTGATCCATGCAACACTTAGGGGGCAGGCAGCAAGGGGCCATGACCACATACGAAGCCAGCACAATGCTCCATGACACAGCTGGCCCTCAGAGTCACTCAGGTACCTGACTTCTTTCATTCTGCAGCTCTGTTCTCTGACAGAAGGTTCTGGAGTCACCCTGGCAGTTGCTTCTACCCTAGTCCAGTGGTAGAAAGGCAGCAAAGAACACAGAGAAGCAGCAGGCAGTGGTGTGGGCTGGACATAGATGCAGTGGCACATGCCACAAAGAACACAGCACCTCCCAGGGAGATCGTCCTGCATCCTTGTCGGTCACCCCATCCAGCCTAGGTTCCTGCACTCTGCCCAGGTTGTAGCATCTGCCTTATTCATGCACCACTTCTCCTGTTTTCTCTGCCACTGGCTCCTACTTTGGGGTTTTTTCCCTTGTCACTGCCCTTCAGAGACCCATCTGAAGAGGATCAGGTAGAACATAACAGAATGCAGGAGTGAACAGGGGATTGTCTGAAAGTTTTGCTGTGGACCTTGTATATCACATAATTTAATCTTAATTAGTTACTGTAAGATAAACACATTTAGAACAGTGTGTGTAATAGTGATCATTGGATGGAGTAAATGCCTCACATTTGCAACATTGTGTTAGAGACCCTTGGTCCTCTTCTACCCATGACATCATTATGAGGCAGATCTTGGGAATGTGGGAAGGTCACCATGCAATAGCCTCACTGTCAGAACTCACAGATCCCATCCCTGTCTTTCCCCTACACCTGTCCCCAAAGCACCCTGAGCAATTGCACCCTCTCCAGCATTCCCACACCCCACAGTTTGCCCCTCTATCAGCAGGTCTTTATTAGTTGCACAGCCTCTCTGAGACCTGGTACTGTGGCATATGGTCTTTGGTGTAATATCAATGAAAAGTGTGCAGCCCTTTTGGTGAATGGTGGTTGCCAACGAAACTTAGAGACAGAAGCTTGTTCTGGGTTGGGGTATGGCTGGGTCTCCCAGGGTGGCGCTGCTTCTTTTACAGATTGTGTTTGGAGTTCCAGATAGAGTAAGGCTTATGTGTGTGTCTAGGGGAAGACTTAGGACAAAGTTTAACTTGTTCTTACTTTGGAAGCAGTATTTGTCAGTGTAAGAATTAGGAAATACAGATACAAAATAAACGTTATGAAAAAGTAATGGTGATCATCCATGTGGCTAAATCATTGAATATGAGCAAAGCTATAATGACTTTCTTCCAATTCTAGTGCCAGCTGTTTATGCCTTGCATTTTGGTGTTACCATGACTAGGACCCAGTAATGCCTGACAGATGTATGTACACAAGGAGTATGGCCGCACCCCTCCCGTTGTGTTTCTGGTGTCCAATGGGAGGCAGTTAGGCCCCTCTGACTTCTTACTACCCTAACTCTCTCCCATACCAGTCCCTTCTGACTTTGAAGATTGTCTAACCCCCTGGACAGCAGTGTGGAGAAGGTACCTCAGGCCAAGGGGGCTCCTCCCCGCAGGAGGCCTGGCTATGCTGGCTTCCAGGAGGCAGGCTGGGTGTTGCTCACCATAGAGAGTGTCCCCTTCCCTGGCCTCAGCCAGCCTTTGATTTCTGCTTTCTCTGTTCCTTTGACAACTGACATTGCTCTTTGCTTTCTAGAGAATGAAAGGACACTTTAAAAATAAAGTTATTAAAGCCCATTTGCATTTCTTTTATGAATTTTGCTCATATCTGTCTACTACTTTTTTTTTTTGAGTTGGAGTCTCACTGTTGCCCAGGCTTGAGTGTAGTGGCACACTCACAGCCACCCCAGCGTCGACCTGCTGGGCTCCGGCAATCCTTCTGCCTTAGCCTTCCAAGTAGCCAGCACTACAGGCGCACACTACTTTGTCCAGCTAATTTTTTACATTTTGTGGAGACGAGGTCTCACCAAGTTGTCCAGGCTAGTCTCAAGCCCACAGGCTCAGACAATCCACTCGCCTCGGCCTCCCAAAGTGCTGGGATTCCAGGCTGAGCCACCGAACCTGGCCCTCTACTACTTTTTAAATTGGATGTTTGTCTTTATGTCATCAATCATTGTAGGCTATTGAAATATGGTTCTTGCTTTCAGGGAGGTTGCCAAGTTTGCTCCATTCAGGCCTGTCTGGAAGGTGCTGCCTTCTGCTAAAGGAGATGCTGTAGGTCCCTCCCTAGATGTGGGAGGGAAATGCATGGTCTTTTATCCAGTGGACTCAGAGTGAGGATAACTGGAAAAATTAACCCTTATGGCAAGGCTCCCCCAGTTGTTTTCACAGCTGGATCAGCAGAGGTGAGAGTTCCCAGTAACTGCTGCAGTGAAGGGCTTTAAGACCTGCATACAGCCTCTTTCTATTTGGTTGTTTTAACTTCCAAAGGTGTGGCTTCCATCCTTCCTATTGCTCACTGTGTTATATATTGCTGCATCTGTCTATTCACGT